TCACCTTGAGCTGAAGAGCGCAAGGACAGCGCCCAAGCCCAGAGTTCAAGTCCTATGACCAACAAAAAAATATAATAAAAATAAATAAAAAAGTGGAAACTGGAGGGCATAGCTCAAAGTATAGCTTTAGCCTCATATGTACCTGGCCTTGGGTTCAATAACCAGCAGCAAAGGAAAAACAAAACAGAAACAAAAAAAAAAAAAACAAACCCCAGAACAAAGGTAACTGTGAATAAGCATGAAAGTTATCCTGAACAACTTAGGCAAAATTTCCTTTTATTTTCAACTATGTGCAATTACTGTTCTTGCTAACTTAGGCAAAATTTCCTTTTATTTTCAACTATGTGCAATTACTGTTCTTGCTAACAGGTGAGTGGGCAAACTAAAACTCTAAATCTTACATCCCAAAGAGCAATAATTTACTTACTTCACTAGAGCAGCTGCTTCAGGAAGTACATCAGCAAACGATTCACGGAATATGATTGCATTTTTCCTTTTACAATTCTGGATGACATCATTGGCAAGGTAAAAGAGATTCAAACGATGGGGGTATGCAGCTAGAGATGACAAAAAACAAAGGGAACAAAATGGGTAATTTTGAAATTAGTTCAACTTATTACAAATAAATTGTTTTCAAGCTGTTAACTCCTTTTATTATATGGATATAAAAAGGACGAATGTAATTACATGGATGGAAGAATGACTAAAAAAATGGATCAGTTTATAAAAACTATTAGAAATTGATTTCTGTTTAAAGTTTCTGTTTCCTTAAGTAGATTACTTCACTTAGATACTAAGAAAAACAATCAAACAAACAAAAACCATTAATTCCAGAGAAGCCAAAATAAAACACAACTGTTCTCTCAATTATTTGGGAAGTCGAAGAAAACTGAGTTGAATAAACTCCAATGGAGGCAGAAACAGACCAAGATTGGTAGAAAGATTCTAATCAGACCTTTTCATTAGCTAGTCTAGATATTACTCAGCCCTATTTACTGATTCTGTGGCTATTTTCTTTCTTTCTTTTTTTTTTTTGTCGGCGTGGGGCTTGAACTCTGGGCCTGGGCGTTGTCCCTCAGCTCTTCAGCTCAAGGCAAGCGCTCTACCACTTGAGCTACAGCGCCACTTCCGGTTTTCTGGTGGTTTATTGGAGATAGGAGTCTCACGGTCTCTCCTGCCCTGGCTGGCTTTGAACCGCGATCCTCAGATCTCAGCCTCCTGAGTAGCTAGGATTACAGGCATGAGCCACCGGCGCCCGGCATCTGTGGCTATTTTCATTTGCTAGGTTGACTGTTCTGGAAATAATTTGATCTGTATACATACCTAGGCTAAACTTTCCAAAGGCCCACAGCTATACCTTTATTATCTAGAATCTGAGTTCCCAAGTTTCATTATTGTGCTGGAGAACTCTTAATATCCAATGGATGATCCATCATGTTTTGCTAAGTCAGTCAAGTTCCCTGATCTCAAATTTGGTAAGAACCAATCCTTAACCCCTTCACTAGACCGCATACGCACTCAGATTTTCATTATATTTGTTCATCAATTTCGTTAAGATCTCACTGTGGTGGCAGTACTGGGGTTTGAACTCAGGGTCTTCTGCCTGCAAGTGCTCTACTACTTGGGTCATGCTCTTAGTTCATTTTACTTTAGCTATTTAAGATAGGATCTTGTATTTATGTGTTATTTGGCATGATCTGTGATCCTCCTTCTTAGGTTGGGGTGACAAGTGCCTATCACCAGTCCAGGTTTTCATTGGTCCAAGGAGGGGGGGTCTTACAAACTTTTTACCTGGGCCAGCCTCAAAACACCAATCCTGCCAATTTCTGCCTACCAAGTAGCCAGAGTTATAGTCATGAGCCATAATGCCTAGCACGATCTCAGATCTTTATTTTCTCTCATCAGTCTCTTCTAGTATTCAATTATTTGTCTATCAATTCCATAGTATTTGACACATTATTTAAATCACTCTTTTCAAAACTTTCATTGTCTTTTCTTTCTTCCCCTAATTTAGCCTTTGATCAGGTGCACTCATCCACATTCTAAATTTGGACTGATCTAAACGCCTTTATTATATCTTTGTTTCTGCTGATGGAGTCGGCTAGAGACCGCATAAACTTGGATTCCCTCTTCAACTGGAACCTAATTGTTACAGTCTTTCCATATGTTCTTAATTAACATCTTCTCAATTATCGTAAAGGTATTTCAAATACATTCCATTCTTTGTGTGTGTGTGTGTGTATGTGTGTTGTTGTTGTTGTTGTTGTAGGGCTGGAACTCTGGGCCTGGGCGCTGTTCCTCAACACTTCAGCTCAAGGCTAGCACTCTACCACTTGAGCCACAGAGCCACTTCTGGCTTTTTCTGCTTATGTGGTACTGAGGAATTGAACCGAGGGCTTCAGGCATGCAAGGCAAGCACTCTACCACTGAGCCACCTTCCCAGCCCAACATATTCCACTCTTTTTTTTATAGTTTTTGTTGTTGGTGGTGGTGGTGGTTGTGGGGCCTGAACTCTGGGCCTGGGCACTGTCCCTCAGCTCTTCAATTCAAGGCTAGCCCTCTACCATTTGAGCCACAGCACCATTTCCAACTTCTTCTGCTTATGTGGTGCTGAGGAATGGAACCCAGGGCCTCATGCATGTGAGGCAAGCGCTCTACCACTGAGCCACCTTCCCAGCCCTATATTCTATTCTTAAGCCTTCTATCCACATTCTCTCTTACTCTCAGGAGATAAGTGAATAGCTATGTTTGCAGAAAAAGCAGAAATACTTAGATGGAAATTATCTTCTCTAAAAACAAAAACAAGCAAAAAAAAACAAAACAACCAAGTAAAGTAGAGCTGGGTGCCAGTGGCTCACCCCTGTAATCCTGGCTACTCAGGAGGCTGAGAGATATAAGGATCATGGTTTGGGGCAGCCAAGGCAGGAAAGTCTGAGAAACTCTTCTCTACAATTAATCAACAAAAAAAAGCCAGGAGTACTCAAATGGTAGAGTGCTAGATTTGAGCAAAAAGGCTCAGGGACAGTGCTCAGGCCTTGAATTCAAGCTCAAGATGGGCACCAATACCCCCAACTCCACCTCCACACAGAAGTGTTGTAGTCTTCAATTATGTGCAGGAGTTCCAGGACCCCCAGTGGGGGCCTGAAACCACTGATAGTAAAAACTCCTATATAAAGAGGCTCTTTGAGCTTACAACTGGGTTACACCCGGATAAAATCATTATTCTAAGGTGAAAATGAATTCAATATACCAATGTTATTGAATGAATATCATGGCTTCCCAAGAGTAGTGTTTACCTTCATGAGTACATGACCCTTTGAGAACTGTGGCTCATGGCTGCCATCTATTATAAGAACACCACACAGAAAATAGTGCTGGCCCAAAAAGAGATGGAAATTCAAAATTCAGCCAGGTATGGGCCTATAATCCGAGCATTCCAAAGGCTTAAGAAAGAAGATCACCAGGCTTGGCACCAGTGGCTCACGGCCTATAATCCTAGCTAATCAGGAGGCTGAGATCTGAGGATCACGGTTCAAAGCCAACCCAGGCAGGAAAGTCTAAGAGACTTTTATCTCCAATAAAGTACTCAGAAAACCAGAAGTGGCACTATGGCTCAAATGGTAGAGTACTAGCCTTGAGCTGAAGATCTGAGGGACAGTGCCCAGGCCCAGAGGCCAAGCCCCATGAGGAAAGAAAAAAAAGAAAGAGAGAGAGAGAGAGACAGAGAGAGACAGAGAGGGGGGGCTGGGAAGTTGGCTCAGTGGTAGAGCGCTTACCTTACATGCATGAGGCCCTGGGTTCAATTCCTCAGCACCACATAAGCAAAAAGAAAAAAGCCGGAAGTGGCGCTGTGGCTCAAGTG